AGGCAGAGCCGGAGAAGATGGGCAGTGACGTGCGGGAAGGAATTAAAGTTTGAAAGCGCTCGCTGCCACCCTCGGAGTAGCTGCTGCAGGCGGACGATGCTGGATGAGCCCCGCTCTCCCCCTGCCTCTGCCCAGCACCCTCCTTGCTGCTCCACCCAAAATCCTGCACTGCTCGGGCCGTTTGCATCCCGTCATTCGGTACCCAGGTGCCCCCAAATCCTGGCCGTGCTTGGTGCCAGTTTTCCTGCCACATCTCTCATCCTTCGCCCTTCAGCCGTGCTGCTGTCGGTCCTCGGGGTGCCGCGGGCTGCAGAGGGGAGCGCGGCCACCACGGCTCGCTGAGCTGACAGGTTTGGGGCTCAGAGCAGCCCGAGGGGGGCAATGCTGCGGTGATGCCTTTGGGCACCCTTCTGCTGCTCTGGAGCCCTTGTGCCATTTGCAATCACCCTCTCTCTGTCAGTGTTTCCGTCTCCGGAGAGGCCACGGCACTTTTGCTTACCAGCTCAGTGATGCTGGATGCTCTAGGCCTCAGTTTTCCCATCTGCAAAATGGGCGTCGCTGTGATAAATCGCTTTTTAAAAAGTACCAGGAAATGAGATTTAGTGCCGACAGACCCAAGGCACCCTCAGAAATGAAACTCGTGGTGTTCTCACAAACCCAAAGCCGTAAAGTGCCAGAGCAGGGCTCACATGTTGGGGTAGATGGGACAGCCCAACACATGTCCACCCGGGCCTCGTGGGAGCGGTGCGGGGGTGTTCAGCACGCAGGGGGCTGGGGGCTGCTCTCAGCCTTGCCCTGGCTGGCTGCTGTCCCCTCTACATCGGGCTGGGGAGGTGTAAAGGGGCTGTGGGGCCAGAGCGAGCTCCCTGCGCAGGTTGGGGATGGGAATGGGAGGTGGAGGAACCACAGAAGGGTCGCCAAGGGTCTGGGCTGGGTTAGTCTGGCCAAAAAGAGGTTAAAAGGGGGTCTGCTGGCAGCTTACAGCTCCTGGGCTGGCATTTAGAAAGCTGGTGGAGCTACACGTCCCTTGGGAGTGGGAGACGACACAACACGGGACAGCGGCCACAGCTCGTGGCTTGGGAGGGTTTGGTGGGTGTTAGGGAAGGTGCAGCAGGGTCCAGCCCTGTGATGGGCACCTGGAGGGGGGGACCCATTCTGGGGGGCTCCAGGGTGGCAGGGGGTTGGAGCTAGGTGACCTGTAAGGTCCCTTCCAGCCCAAGCCATTCTGTGGTAATGAGTCTCCAGATGTTTGGATGTTGATTAATACCAAAGGCATCATCTCAGCCCTAAAGCCTCCTCCTGCTGGTGGCCAGAAAGGTCTCCAGGATTAATTTATGGTCCCACAAAGAGGTTTTGGTGACCCCAGCACCCAGCCTGCACGTGCCCATCTCTCCCCACAGTGTCGGCACGGCGGGGTTGGCTGCTCTGCTCTGCTCCCTTGGAAATCAGGGATTTTCCGGGGCAGGATGGAGCGGAGCAGCAGAGTGGTGCTGGCTGGAGTGGTCTGGGGAGACATGAAGCTTTCCAGACTAGGGTGAGAGGAGGAGAATCGGTGTCAGCAGTGAGCAGCAGAAATCCCCCCGTGTTGTGCCTGGTGGACGAGCACTTTCCCATCCCCGTACCTCAAACACTTTGGAAACAACACGGGAACGTCCTCTCTGCTCCGGGACAAGTGCCAAGGCTCAGCTGTTGCCCCAGATAAGCAGCGAGAAATAGCAAAACAGCACAGCGCAGTGTAGCACAGCCTGTGATGGGCTCGGGGCTAGCAGGCACCCGAGGCACCCTCCATGACAACCCCCAGGTGAAACTTTTTGCATCCCTACAGATGGGTGAACGACTCCTGGTTGTTCCACAGCGTCACAGACTGCCTGGGGCTGGAAGGGACCCCTGGAGGGCTCCTGGTCCAACCCCTGCTCAGGCAGGGCCACCCAGAGCCATGTCCCTCAGGGCCTTCTCCACCAGGCTGCTCCCCAGCTGGGTGCCCCCAGCACGTCCTGGGCTTGTTCTCCCCAGGGCAGGACCCTGCACTTCTCCTTGGTGAACCTCATCAGGTTTCACCTTGATTTCTCAGCTGACTGCAAACTATTTTAATCTAAAGTACTTAAGCAGTACCCTCCCCTGGACCTGCTTGATGGTTATGAGCACCTGACAGCTGAGCACCTTTCCCTGGTGAGCGCCATCACCAAATTCCCATTTTTTACAGGACACAGTGATGTGCCTGCATGGGACAGGTGGCGGGGTGGGCCCCTGTGCATGCCGCACATCCCTGTGTTTGCAGAAGCAGGAGACCTGGGGGTTGCTCTGGAGATGGAAATACGATTTTCCAGCTGACCATGAGTGCTGACTGCTCCAAGCCCTGTTGGTGTTGCCTCCCAGCACCTGCCAGAGGGGGTCCTGCCCCTCAGGAAGCCACATGGAAGAGGCTGGTGGGGGTCTTCTCTGCTCTTCTCACCACTGCATCGCCAAGGATGGCACGGCAAGGACACTGCCCCGATGCAGGCCTTGGCCAGACTGCAGAGGTAGACACTGTTGGACAGGAGGTGCTCCAGGGTGCAAAGTGCTGGCATGAAAACACATTGCTGTAAAGCTTGTCCCCAACCAGTGTCACCCAGGTCCAGCTGATGTGGTCTCAGATGATGCAGCTGAAGCTCCAACTGGGTGCGGGGAGTGGAAAGCAACCCAAAGAAGAAGTCCTCAGCCCAAATCCCACACTTTTCTGGTGGACTGGCTCTCCTGCACAAGCTGGAAGTGGCAACTGCATCATTTGTCCCAACTTTTGTCCACCCTTGTGAGCTTCTTGGGATGGGAAGCATCATCTTCTCCCCGTGGAGGAGAAATTGGACCAGCAGGGGCTCCTCGCTGCAGCACACACTGCTTCGCTGAAGCCCCTTGGGAGGGGACAGGCTGCCTGGTGGTGACACTGCTGGGGACATTGATGGGACTTAGGAGCCACAGGACAATGGCACATCAGGATGCTGCCAGCAAATGCAGCTCTGAGGGGTGGCCCTGCAAGCAGGATGCTTCTCTCTTGCCCAGCAACCCCACAAGGAGCTTTCCTGCCAAGTGAACCACCATGCCCATGTCGGATGGCCAAGCTCAGGCTGCCACCTACAATAAGGGACGGAAGTGTCACCTGGAAGGACCCAGGTGGTCCATCAGCTGCTCAAGCAGGCCAACACCAGAGCTGTGCAGAGCTCCGTGTCTGCCCGACATTCTTGCTGCTGAGCAGAGAAGCGGTCACCCCTGCCTGGCCGATGACCCGGCTGTGGGGGTGGAGCAGGGGCTCTCCCTTGGTTTGGCAGGGCTGGGGGAGTAAAGGTAAAAAAAATACCATAGATCAACACTGTAAATAATTGGTTTTCTTAATTAAAAAGCGCTTTTTTGTTTTTCCTTCCCTCCCACCCCCCTCCTGGAGGACAGCATCCTGGCAGGGATCAAACTCTCAGGTTTAGAAGCTCATTGCGTAGCCTTACTAAAAGAAGCCACCTCCTTGCCACTGGCCACATGAGAACCACGACACCTCCCATGAAGACATGGCCTAGAGGGCACTCGCTTGACTACGGGAACCCTTGGTGATGGTGCTGGACCCAGAGCTCCTTGGTCATGCTAGTGGCTGGGTTTAGGGTGAAATTTTCTTGATGAGCCTCCGTGCACCCAGGTGGAGAAGCGAGTCAGGAGTGGGAGCTTGAACAGGGCACCGAACCCAGGTGTCAGCAGAGAAATCAGCTGTGATTGCACCCAGCCACGCTCACACCCCTTTACAGCATACACATGAACGAAATGTTGTCCCCAAGCTGCTGCTGGAAGCAAGGCACTGGTGAGAGTCTTGGTCATGGACTAAGTTTGATTTTGAAGTGAAATTCAGCCCTGGTGGGACAACGTGGTGCTGGAGATGAGGGCACGCGGTCATGGTGGGGAGCTGGCTGTGGGGCTGGGTGAAGAAAGCCACCAACACGATCAAAGGACTGGAACATCTCTGCTAGAAGATTGAGCCAGGCTCTCGTCAATGGTACCAGTGCCAGGAGCAGAGGCACTGGGCACAAGCTGGAGCACGGCAGGCTCCATCTGAACATCAGGAAGCGCTCCTGTGCTGTGCAGGTGATGGAGCACTGGCACGGGCTGCCAGAGAGCCTGTGGGGTCTCCACCCACGGGGATCTTCAAAAGCCGCCTGGACGTGGTCCTGGGCAACCTGCTCTGGGTCTCCCTGCTTGGGCAGGGGTCGGAGCATGTGGATCCAGAGGTGCCTCCGACCCCAACCGTGCTGCGGTCCTGCGGTTCTGTGAGCAGTGATGCTGCTCAGCCTGGGCGAGAGAGCACTTCCAGGCGGGGCCAACCCCAGCAGCCAAGAACCGGGAGCACACAATGCTCGGGGGACCTGTGGGACCACGGGGGACAGGGTAGGGCTGACATCTCCCCTCCTTCCACCCAGCCGTGGAGCCGAGCAGGCGATCAGTGCGGGCTGAGAGCGGGGCTGTGCGCCTGGGACAAGGGGCTGCTCTTGCAGGAGGACTCGGGCTGCTGTCCTAGGGAATTTGGGGCTGCTGCCCCGGGGATGCTGTTCTAGGGTACAGGACGCGCATCCTGAGCCCATGGGGTGCGTGCCGGGGGCTCGGGGCTCTCACGGGGGTAACGGCGGCTGCCGGAGCTGCAGCCCCGAGCCCCTCGGAGCCCCGGGGGGAGCCCAGCGCCTTCCCCCAGCCCCCGGGGGCAGCCCGGAGCGATCGGTGCCGGCTCGGGGAGCCGCCGGTCTCTTTAAAAAGCCGAAGCCCGAAAGTTCATCAAAGTTGAGAAAGTTTTTCGTGGAAAAGGGAGGAGAGAAAAAAAAAAAAGCAACAACAAAAAAAACCCGGACCCGCAAAAAAAAAAAAAAACACAACAGAACCCGACCAAAAAAAGCCCCTGGACACCCCTCGCCCCCCCGACGGCCGGGGGCGGGCCGGGCCGGGATTGGCGGCGGGCGGCCCGGGGGCGGCCCCGGGGGCGGCGGGGCGGGGGCGGGCGGGTCCCGGCCCCGCTGCTCGGTGCGCGGCGGCGGCGGCGGCACCGGGAGCGGCGGCACCGGGAGCGGCGGGGGCTGGCGCTGGGGCTGGGGCGCGTCGGCCCCGCAGCTGCGGCTCGTTGAGCTCCGCCCGGCCCGGCCCGGCCCGGTCCGGTCCTTAACAGCGGAGCGGAGCCCGGGGGTCACCGCATGTGAACCGGGAGGGCAGCGCCGCACCGCCCCGCACCGCCCCTGAGCACCGGCAGCGCTCCCCTGCCCGGCCCCGCCGAGCCCCGGAGCAGCTGTGCACCCTCCCCTTCGCCCCCTCTCTTTCTTTTTCTTTCTCTTTCTTTCTCCCCTTCCCCGGTCCCACACCATGAGCAACCTCAACAAGGACACCGAGCACACCAACGGCGGCGGCAACGTCGAGGAGGAGGTGGGAGCTCACGGCGGGGCTGCGAACCGGGGCGTCGGGGGTCCGGAGAGCTGCGAGTGGGGAGCTCCGGAGCCTCGGGGGTCCGGGGTGTTGGGGGTATGGAGCATCGGGGTGGGGCATGGGGGTGTTGAGGGACCCGTCGTTGGGCTGTGGGGCTGAGGTCCAGCTGTGGGAGCTGGAGATTTGGGAAGTCAGGGGAGCTGGAGCATGGTGGCATCGGGGTTTTTGAGGGCAGGGGGTTCTGACTGACAGCGCTGATGTAGTGAGCCCTGGGAGAGAGCAGCCCGGTGGTCTCATAACCTCATGGGACAGGGACTTTGCTGCCCTGGGGGACAGAGTCCTGTTCCCAAGCCCCCATGGTTGGTGGGACCAGGCTGTAGCATCCAGGCACCAGTGATGGGCTGTAGGGATGGGCAAACCTGGGTGATGGAGCCCGTGCCATGTGTGCTGGCAGCCCGGCTGGGGCTGGAGAGGGCTGGGAGCCGCCCTGGCTGCCATCCCCATCCCTTGGACAGCCGTCATGAGCTGGATCCTGCACTGGGAGGGCTCTCTAGGAGGGTTGCTTGTCCATAGCCACTTGCTGAAGCACATGGAGCCCAGCCCTCAAGGCTGCGGATCCGCTGGCTGGGCATCAACATCGTCATTACCGCCGCGTGTTGGGGCGACGTTGGTCTGATGGGGTTGCCTCCTCTCCTCCATCTTGGCGTTGGGAAAAAGCCTGGGCAGCGTTTTGCTGCAGTCCTCCGCACCCAGCCCTGGGGAGCGGGGAGATGCGCTGCCCCCTCCCCTTGCTCTCCTCCAGCGCGCCGTGCGCTCGCGCCGCCGCAACATGGCGCCCGGGCCGCTCTGCCACCCCCGGGGCCGCACAGACCCCGTGCACCAGCTGCCTGCGGGGCCCTTGCGACCCTTGGTGTGGAGTCCCGGGTAATGGGGCGGAATGGATGGGCAGGTGGTGGCCGCGGCTCGGCTTCTGCTGAGCAAGGCTGAGGTGACGCGATGGGACGTGGCTGTGATGCTGCTGGTGGCACGTCCCTGCCTCACTGGGCGGCACTGGTGTGTGTGAGTGTGGAGAGGGACCTGGGGACACACGCAGCTTTCTGGGTGCTCAGTACCAGGGGGTTTTCACGTGCGCACAGAAGACTGAATGCGGCTCCTTGATCCGATTGTTCACTGGCCTGCAAAGCTTTCCGAGGCTGATGCCGTGTGGTGCATCGCAGCTCGGGCTTGGTGGTGGCCGCGTGAGCTTGTGGTGTTCAGGGAGCTGGCAGTGGCTTGGCCACTTGGGTGCTGGAAGCTGGTGTGCCCTTATTACATTTTGGGAGTCTGGTGTTCTCCAAGGTTATGCTTAGTGGCCGAAAAACAGAATTAAAGAGTGTGGGGCTGGCTCTGCGGCAGAGGTGTCCCCGACTTTCCATCGTGCCGCCTGTGGCTGTGTGTGGGGAGGGGGACAGTCTGGCACGCCCTGCTAGGTCTGTATCGTGGTTGTGTTTGTCACCCTGCCCCCAGGGAAGCAGAGGATGTCTGACCGTCCCGGAGGTGGCTGAGGATGCTTGGGAGGTGATGGGCTGGTGGGGGTGTCCCTGTGCCTGGTGGGGTTGCTGTTGGGAAGCCCTCCTCTGGGATCCTGCTGTCACCACAAATTACGGTGTTAGTTGCTCGTTGGGCTCCCTGGTGGCCACTCTGAGCCCTCCAAAGGGTTTTTTGTGGCTGAGCAGAAGCCATCCTCTCAGCAGAGGAAGCTAATGGTGACACAAGGACCAGGAGTGACCTTGTGTTCAGGGTACTGCTGTGGCTGGGGGCTCAGCTGTGTCCTGGGCTAGCCCAGATGCTTGCCCAGAGCTCCCTTTGCTATAGGTCTGTTTGCTCCCTTCTATCAATAATTGCATTTAATGTGAAAGCGGCTCCTTCAATCCCAGCACAAGTATCAGGGAATGCTGGAATATCTTCCCAAACGGCATTGATAATGCTGCCAGATCCTGGTGCTGTGGCTGCACCCCGCCCCAAGCCTCCTCTGCTGCTTCCCAGAGCATTCTCAGAAGGGCACTGTGTGCCCCAGATGCAGTGGTATGAGGCTCCCAAATTCAGCCTCTCCCTTTATCTAATCTGCAAACCCCCGCACCTCGCAGCCCCTTCCTGCCCGGTGACATGAGGAGGACAGGAATGCCTCTTGCTCCTCTCTGGGTCGTTAATGGGAATGTTAAACAAACAGGGCCGAATGTCAGTCCCTGCTGTTCCTCACCCGACACCTCCCCAAAGCCGTTCCCTCCCCACTTGCTGCTATCTTCTGTTTAGTTTTCCAGGCAGCCGCCAATCTGCATGGCAGCTCATGTCCCCGCACTCCCCAGGGGCAGCGTGAGACTGGCAGCTGCCTGGGTGCTGCGTGCCCCCCTCGAGCAGCTGGGGGAGCTTGTGTGCTCACCACCTCGGGGCCTCTCCACTGGGAGAGGGGCATCTTCCCTTCTGGCCCATGGCGAGGCTGTGGTGGTACCCAGCAGTTGGAGAATGCCCCGCTCTGGGAGGCAGGAGGCTCTCGGCATCCCTGCAGCCTCCAGAAGGAGGACGGGCAGAGCTCTGGTTTGGCACGTGTAGCAAGTACTTTGTCCCTGGCCTTTCTTAGCTCTGTAGCATGCTGGGGCTGCCAGAAGCATCCAGGAATGCCAGTGGTGAGCAGCCTGTGTTTCGCGCTGGGTGGCTGTAGCCCTTCATGGACTGGTGCCAGATGCTTCTTGATTTCTGTAATCTCCACTTGAGTGGACCTAGATACCTCCTACATGCGTGGATTCTAGCTCTCTGACTTGAAACAAATAAGATTAATGTGCCTTCTGAAGTCAAATGACTTTGTGATGCTGCTCTTTGCTATGTGGAGCTTGCGGGTGCAGGGGCTGTGGTCACCACTTGGTAATCTCCTTGTGCTCTGTCTGGCTGGTGATTCACTTCAGAGCTGTTTTTGTGCATCGTGAGAGTATCTTCGATGTTAGACGCGGCTTTCTGCTACTGACAGATAGTTGGCCCAGCAAATACCCTGAAGTCACCATGCACGTGGAGGGTCTGGGAACTGCAGTGTTCCCACTCCTCTCGGCCTACCAATGAGTCCCTGTTCCTGGGAGAGGGCTGTGGGAGTCTCCCTGTTATCTCCTCCTGTCCCGGTGCCCTGTCTGTGCTGGAGGAATTGGCACTGTGTGAAGTCAAGCGTGACTCCTCAGTGCTGGTGCAGAACGCTTCTGGAGCTAGAAGTTCTCGTGGGCTTGCTGGTCTCAGCCAGGTCAGGCTTTGCTGAGTCACGAAGACTGAGCTGCTTGGATCGTGGGGCAATGCTTCATTCTGCCTGTCCTGGCCCCGAGTGCCTGAAATAAAGGCTCAGGTGCTTCACCTGCTCTCCAGGAGACCTGGCCTCAGAGCTGGTCTCCTTGTCAGATCTGGAGGTGAGTGGTCTCAAAGCTTTTGTGCTGTGGAATCCTAGAGTGGTTTGGGTTGGGAAGGACTCAAAGGCCATCTGATTCCACCTCCCTGCTGCAGGCAGGGACCCCTCCCAGCAGCCCAGGCTGCCCAAATCCCACCCAGCCTGGCCTTGGGCACTGCCAGGGATGAGGCACCCACAGCTTCTCTGGGCAACCTGGGCGATGGCCTCACCACCCTCTGAGTGAAGAATTTCTTCCTTATATCTAATCTAAATCTACCCTCTTTCAGCTTGAAGCTGTTACCCCTAGTCCTATCACCACACCCTGACAAAAAGTCCCTCCCCAGCTCTCCTGCAGCCCCCTTTAGCATGGGCAGGCTGCTGTGAGGTTTCCCCAGGGCCTTTTCTTCTCCAGGCTGAACATCCCAGTTCCTTCAGCCTCTCAGGAAGCCCTGAGGTGTCTTCCCCACGTGTCCCTACATCACAGGCCACCCCTGGAAGAGGGCAGTGCCTTCTACAGCAGCAGTCACTGTTACACAGGGACATCTCGTGTGGCAGAGGCCGTAAGTGGGAAGGATCCATTTGTGCTTTAAAACACCCATATACCACGTGGGATGGCTGGAGATGAATCCCTCCTGTGTGCAGAATGCTGTGAAGCCCCTCGTGGTGAGGCAGCAGGGCAGAGGGATGCAGCCCCAGTGCTGGAGATGCTGGATTGGGGCCACACTGCCATGTGTAGCTGTGGTCCTGAGGCAGCCTGGTGCGTCTGGTGAGGAGGGACCCTGGGGCAAGTGGTGGCCCTCATGCCATGAGGGCATTTGTGCCAGGTGAACCTGCCCTCAGTGTGGCAGAAGCTGAGACCATGAGCTTGGCAAGGGTATTTTGCCCACTGTCCTGTAGGGTCCTGGTGTGGCTGGGAGGCCTGAGGGCCCCCCTGCCCCAGGGCCTGCTGTCCCCCTTGGTTCAGCCCCGATGAAGGGTGTTGTGTTGTGATGCTTTGGGTGATGGCTGAATGGCAGAAGGTGTGGAGGTAGGGCACTTCTGTGAGCTCTGGGCTCTGCCTGGTGTGTCTGGGGCGGTGAGGACTTCTTTGGGCCTGGGGCTCCCTCAGTTGCTTGGAGATGTGGGCAGGAGCAGGATGTTGACCTCTGCTGCATGCCCTGTGGGAAGGAACGGTCTCGAGCCCCACCAGACGGATGTTATTCCTCTGGGAGAACAGGGAGGCAGGATGTTGGTAGCAGATCCTGCCTCCAGCCTTTCCTTGGTGTGCTCAGAGCTTGTGGGGGTGTGTGTCTGGATCATGGCTGCATGGGACCACGTGTGCTGGCCTCGCACAACTCTTTCCTCTGTTCCTGAGCCCAAACTTACCTGGGCACAGGCTGTGGCTGCTCAAAACCAAGGGACAAGTAGGACAGCCTTACTCACGTGGAAAACCTCCAGCCCTGCTGCGTAGCCCAGAACAGACTGTGGACTGGTTGCACCTCCCAGTTTGGGATGGCATGTTCCCTGCTAAGGACATGGTGGGTTCTCGTGTTAGTGTGGGGTGAGGTCCTAGAACTTGGCTGCGTATCAAAGCTGTTGTCTTGGGAGCCAGCAGAAGCTC